ATGCGCCGTGAGCGAACACGTGAGACGAATTGATGTCGTTTTCAAAGTTCTTGAAAGGATTCCGCGGTTTATCGACGAAGTCACGCGAATTCGAGGCGTGGATTTTGTACGTCGAAGTCGGGACGCGAGGAAAATATTACTACGGGTTTACCGAATGGGCCAATAAATCTTCAGGCTTAATATTGTCCGCACGAAAAGTGCTGCCAGCTTTCGAATGCATTATCGGCGATCAGTAATTATCGAGATATTACGTACGAATTATTTATAATTAAAGATATTTATTTTATATTTATATACACTTTTTATCGAACAAATTCTCTCGCAATTTATTAAACGTTGACTAAATATAATACAATTTATTCACGAAGATTTATAAATTGATAATAATAATGTGCTATAATAACAATAATTAAAATATTTACTGATATATTAACTATGTAATTTCATAGTCAATATATGCATGAATTATTTTGATAAAGAGCGGAAATGCCACGACGAAAATCTCAATGAAAAATCGGATGCGATGTGCCATGTGTCAGTGCAATTTCGTATGAGCTGCTCCGGATATATACGTTTCCAGTCGAATGGAGACTTGAGCAGCGGCGATGAATGATGGACCGACGTGACCAGTTGGTGCAACGACGGCATCCCCGACGATGAAGAGTGCAGAACCGGCCGCGCGTCGTCGTGGCCATTATCGGGCGACCTTCTCTCGCACTTTGCTGCGCGTCATCGACTATTTATGTGTCTAAGAAAGAGCTTTTGAGAACCACCCGCAGAAACAAGAGAGAGAAAACGGGGCTCGGCTCGTGACATTTGAAGGAGCGAAGGGAAACGAGGCTCTCTTTCTCTCTCTCTCTCTCTCTCTCTCTCTCTCTCTTCTCGTCTTCCTCTTCGATCCTTTTTCTTCTGTTCGGTTTCTTCCGCGCAGCGTACGAGATAAAGAGACGTCGGGGAAGTTCGACGCGAGGAATGCCCGCGGGATGAAGGCCAAGATACCACGGAAAGAACTGGACGACCTCTTCGACGAGGTACGCGGTAAGATCGCACGAGATAGGAGATACGGCCGCGCGGCATCGGATCCGATGGGACTTCAATTCGGCGCGCGATCGGCGCGGCGCTTCCTCCTCGACGCGCCCCGCGATTTTTGCGATCGCGCGATTAGTCCTCGCGCGGCATCGTCGCTCGAAGACAGGACGAGGCCGATTGGCATGCCAACACTTCGTCGGCACGTCAAGCGTGTTTAATTTTAATGACGCGGGAATAACGAACGCGTCATGACGTGGCTCTCGGGGGGGAACGAAGAAGAGTAGAGAGTGCCAGTGCTTTTCTTCTGAATATAATAAGTGTTTCGTACTTTTATTCTCGTCCGGATCTTCTTTCCTTTTTAACTGATATCACTCGTTGAAATTATTTAAATTAAATAATGGCGCGTTTTATTAAAAATGACCGACGACAGCGTTAACCGAGGCAATTTATTACAGGAACGGCGGCACTTTTTCGGCGGATAACACGAAAAGTGCGAATCGTAAGGTATGAAATACGACAGCGAGAGATCCGCCGTCGGATCCCACTTGTCAGCACGCTTCGAATTACAGCGAAATTCCAAGAACTTCCCGATGCACCCGCAAAACCTCAGCTAGAGAAGCGGCGAGTGTCGTCTCGGTTGTCGGGTAACGTTGCGCGCCACGCTCGACGTATACATTGTCGCGAAACTCGCGCGTGCTAGCACGCTTTCACGCTCCGACGGACACTTGATCCTGAAAAATTTCGCGAAGCGTTTAATTCGCGAGAGAACGATGTCGCACGCAAACGAGATGACGTCGCTGTGGCTCCGCGTCGTCTAAAACCCTTTTGCGGATAACGGGGAACAAAAAGCGGAACTGCGCCGCGTTGCATTACCGCCGCGATGCAATCAATTTCCGCCGCGTGCTCGAGTCGATCGAGCGCGTGGGGATTCGCATGGGGATTACGTGATAGATAACAATCGATCTTCTCGATTGCGATAGGCAATTCAATAGAGTACAGGGAAGAAGAGCGGTCCGCGCTGATAATTAAAGATCTCTTTCTAGCAATAAATAATACGTAAGAATTGTATAATCATGATTATTATTAATATAAATATAAGAAGTACTTTAGACTGAACTCTTGAAATTTATTTCAATAGCCATATTCTGATAACGTTTAACTCTTTGACTTGTATATTTGGATAAAATAATTTTAGTTAAATTAAATTCATCACGAGAATTTTATCTACTCTATATTATTTTTATAAATTATATAGATATATACTGCTTTCTTGTATTATAAGATATACGTTAAACTATTTATTGGCAATGAATAGCGAAAAATTAAAAATTATTCTATCGAGGATTTTTTAAATATTATTATAATAAGAGGCAATACCTTAAATTGCAACTGCAATTAATTGAAGTTTTAAATTACAGGCGCGGAGAAAGCTCCGCTGGTATGTTATCTGTGAATCTAAATGATTCTACAACATAAACAGCTAAGTTTTCGCTACGTCACGGTGCGGGCCATACGATTCATTATGAACAACAGCGTCGGAAGAGAGTTTTGTTTCGCAACATTGCGCTTTATCCTCCTGTGTAAATCGCGATTTAACTGAAGCGCCATTTAAACCGCGCCTTTGTTTACGATGAAAACGATCGCGCCCCGCACACGCGTTGTTCCGCTGCACTGTATCCGGTAGTCGACCTCCGCGTAGATCGCCCGGATCGTCACGTGAATGCATGCCACGGATCTGACGTATCTGACGATCTCGATCGTGCTGGATCACTCTCAGCGTAGCGTCAGTGAAAGACGGAGGCTAAATCACAGTGGCCCGTTAGTCTCGATCGTGCACGTTTATGTGAGCTCATAGGATCGGCGTCCTATACGCACACAAAAGCAGTTTCCCATTCGGTCTCTCGCACATCGAGATTCACGTACATCCGAGATTCTGTCTGGAACACATATCGGGTGTAACATAAATTTTTCCTCATGTTGATTTTTACTATTTTTCACATAAACTTTATGTGTAGAGAAAGTTATAAATTCCTTATACATAATATCTTTTTCCACATAAAAGATGCCATTACATTTGTAATAGAAATTTTATGAAATTTACTCGATAAATTTACACTTAATTTTAATTTTTTGGCACATTTGCATCTTGTTGTATTCTTATAGAATTTCTATTAAAAGTTGTAAACATAAAATATAAAATAAATATATTTGTTTCACTCAACTCTGTTAATAAATTATTATTATTATACCATATAATATCACTTATTGTACACGTTATATAATATCAGTAATTGTAAAAAAAATTTAGATTACGGTGGACAAAGAAATTTTCAAGAAATTTCTGAAAAATCTAAAGAGAGAGAATTTCCAAGTCACCATATACGTGAGTGTACAAATACCAACTGTTTTCCCAATCCATTCCGCGAGTGTCACTTTGACCGACACGTGCACGCGGCCCGTAGATTTAATACCGCGCGATGCGCGCGGTAAGAAGAGCTCCCGAAAAATGCATCCTTTAATCGCGGCGTGCAATCTGCGGGAGATTACACGACGCGACGTGAGATATTATTATATACAATGTGGCCGCGATTGCGAGGGGAATGCCGTGGCGGATGTAAATTAGCCTCATTCCTCGCGAAATTAATTCCGAGACCGTGGCAATCGGGCGCGCCGATTTGACATGGGTGAAAAATTTTAGATTGACTCCCCGCAATTCGCCCCGGCCGCAGTTCGCGCTCGCACGGGGGCCCCGCACACGTCTCTCGGGGCTCTTAAAAAGGCAGCGCGTCGATTGGCAGGCACGGGCCACGCGGTTCGGAACACGCTCATGCACTCCAGAGATTCCGCTTATACGGCCCCTATTATACTCCCCCGACGCTAATTGCTATTACGGCGAGGCGTGTTGCATAAGCGCAATTATCGCATCCGCGAGCGACGCCTTTCTTGAAGGATTGCACACGCGCACGCAATCTTTCGTAGTTCGGCCATGGGGTCTACGAACTTCTATATACACCGGGCAGCCGTCAACTCGTCATCTTGACAGCCGCTATAGAATTATTAATTGCGGCGGATACACGTCGCGTGCGTGTGTGTAGTAAGCGACTGACACACATATTTTCTCATATATACAATATATATTAAAGTTACGCATATATTAAATAACACTACAATACATATACATACATAGCAAGAATACTATCATATATTTGTAATGTAGAAAAGAGAAATGTAAATTATTTTTAGCTATTTTTTTTTCTTAACTAACAAGTTTCAATTCGTTAGCACTTAGCTCGACTTCCATCTCAAGTCTGCGCTCATGATTATTTTTAACCTGACGCGTGTAGGTTTGATTGATACCATTACATTTACGGGGTAATGTGAAACTAGATAGCTAACGGTATTTCAGATTAACGTAAAATTTAGCAGGGAATGCGACCTTATTTACACGGCAATCGTGTAGGCCGGCTCGCTATTCTAATTAGACTTGTCGGGATCGGCGGAGCGGAGCGATCGGTCTCGATACAATTGTCTAGAGGCAAATATCCGAGACTAATCGAACTGTGTCATCTGATGATATGACGTGTATATGCGGGCGATCTAGTTCTTCAAGGATGCAAGTGTTCAGTAACGCGCTAGAGAGTATATGCGCATATTAATTGCCGTGAAATGGCACGCGTTTACACGCAAGGAAATCGTACTTTTACTCGCGACAAAAGGAGGAGCGATGACTACATTTCAAATAACAAACTGCTTAATTATTCTTTTTCTTAATATTTAAAAATTATTTCTAAGACAATACATTTGAAATATTTAATTATTTTATGAAAATTACGAAGAAAAATTACGTTCGACGTCTTAATCTGAAATTAAAGCGATTGACGTGTGTTCCTAATTACTCGGGAAACGTTTCATCTAATTGTATTGTTTCGTCTCTTAACGTCTTTAACAAGAAATTATGCTTTTTGCTTTAGGGCGCGCGGTTCCGAGATACCTCGCAGCAAATCCATAAACAATGGCAGGCCGATCCAGCGAGGGCATTTCCAACTGTCGGCGGCGTCACTACAAATTCGCCTTCGCCGGCATCGGGAGAGCTCTCCACGCCAAATTCCACTCCCAGCCCTAGCCCTAGTCCGACTAATCACCAAGTCACGGTAAGTACCTTGTATTGTAAATCAAATTAAGCTGAATGCAATACAATGCAGAAGTCATTGTAGTTTAATTTTAATGTTAATTCGCACAAAATTCAATTTCAAAATATAATATAATATGCGTAATTTTTTTTCAATGATTTTACGTACAGTAGTTTTTCTGGATTATTAAGAAATAGGAATTTTATAAATATCTTTGCATATTTGTATTTCTAAAAAATATTCACTCTCTCTAATTAACACTGGTATTTTAATTGCGATATATTTGCGTAATCTTATATAATATATACGTATATGCATATAGACGGAATTGACAAAATACTAAAAATTTTGATAGGTATGATTTAAAATTCGAGCAATTTTCTTCATGATGCTTTATCCGCTGGGCGAATATCGTTCTCCCAATCTCGCGTACCTCCACCGTGAAATCACGAGCGACATTTTGCGATTCCACCTGAGCTCGCGGCGCTCTGTTATATGTCTCACGAAAGGCAACGAGAAACAATTTCTTCCGACACGACCGTCGTGCAAAATGTTGAGCTGTAAGTCGCGCAGCGGGATGCGGACCAGCGACATTTCCCTCGAAAGGCCAATAAACTTTTATCTCGGTTATACGCGAAATGCGACGAAATGTCGTTGTGCCTTTTTTTTTGTGTTGCAAGCCTCGTGCAAGTACCAGGCGACACGTAAGTGCGCTGAGCCAGGGGCATCCTGAAATCCTCCGGGGTGTATCAACCACTATTTGAGATTCCGTCGTTCATGTAGGTCAGGGATTGAGGCACTGCTTTCGCAGAGCGCGATACATGCGCGGATACACACGCGAGCACGTTCAATGTGCATTTTGCATGCGTTCAATGTCGCAACCGATTTCGACCAGCAGACAACGCGCGCGACAGCTGCGTCTGAAGAATATTTTTGGTTACAAATTTTTTGCGTTTTCTCACAAAAGGAACTATTTATGATATTTTGACATAGCGACTTCAATAGCGCATTCGCAAGATTTCTATCGGCAATATTTGCAACTTGGAAATTTATTCTACGACTTTTCGCAGACTTTTTTCCGATCCGATATTAATGCGCGTCGAGACGAATGCAAGTTGCATATTTCAGCTTAGCATGAGATTCCGACTATTGAAAGAGCTTTCAAAGGCGTCTATGTATACGGTTCTCGAAAAATAAGGAATTCCAAAGCTCAATATACTTTTTTTCCTCTCTCTCTTCGTATATCGTGCGTCAGTTCTACTGCTATAGCGATGCTTGCGTCACTACAGAAGATACGTATACGTGCCGTGGCGCATACACAGGTTTACGCACAGCATTGTTCCCGCGAGACTATCGGTATGCAACCCGTACATCCAATTGAACCCGGTCGAGCAGTCGAGGGGGTGGTTACCCCCGGCGATGATGCCATTGTGCTCGCGCTGTGGGATCTGGTTCTGGGTCAGCGTGGCTTAATGAGAAACTATCGGACTTATATATATATACACAATATATACATATATACACATGGCCACCGCGGCGTACTCGTTATGCAAAACTCGCACATAAATTGAATTTCTCCTGGCGACGCGAGTTTGTCTTTTATGGAATTAAGTCTCGCCCGCGTCGTGCCGGCGGAGAGAATGTTTGACGTGACGTTTGGGAATTAAGGTCGTCCCATTCGCGCGATTGGCAGATGAAGATCTCTTCTTCCCGGTCGCGCCGTCAGGAAACGAACCAAGACAGCGAATACGTAATTGCGAAATTAGCGCCGGCGTTTGTTATGAGGAAACGGGATTAGATTTATTTCTCGAGCAGTCTGATTTCTGTCTTGAGGCTTCTGAAGCCTCGCATTGATATTTCTTGGGAGACTGAAAAGAGAGATAAAATAGAATGAATACATAATATAAAAGTCCACCAAGTGATGAGACAGTGCGGTTATTGTTTCCGTCATCACGGAGAGTTTAAAAAAAAATTCCACTAGATTTAGAGAGTGTCAGACTTGTCGGAACTTTGATTGAAGCAACCACGCTGTTGAACAATTCCCATATCTTCCACCAGATATTGTACCGCAAATGAAATAGTAACCGCAAATAATGCATCCTGGTAACTTACAGCGGTTTATTACCGCAGTTGCGATTGCGGTGATACCGCACGCGTGTTTACCGTCGTCGTTTACCCCGAAGATACAACACGACGTGAAAAAAATAAGGTGCTCGTCAGTTGAACGATAAATTAAAATACCGAGGATCTTGTTCTCGCAGATTTTATCTCGGCAGAGATAAAACTGCTGTGTTTCTCTCGCACTCGTGTCGCATTATCTTACACTGATCTTGTTTCTACCCAATTCCGTCGCAGCCTCATCCTCGACAAAAGGTTACTCCTGATACACCGACCAAATCGATACGGTGACATCAACGTTTTATATATTATTCAGAAATCCGCGACGATCCTATTTTTTTTTATACTGCTGATCTAATTATGTAATTAAGACGAGAATTTCGCGTTATTGTTGTTAGTAAACTTCAAGAAAATATGATGCATTATGATATATTAGATTTCTGATGGAAGAGAGTTATCGGTGTAAATAGAAAAGAAGGAAAAATAGTACAGCATGAAAAATAGGAAAAATTTAACTTCTTGATGAAAACTGAAAAAGAAGCCGCTGATAAGAATTTTTTGAATTAAAATTGTATTTATATATTTCGCAAAAGTATATTTTTAGTATTTAATTATTCAAAAAGTTTTAATATTGTTATTGTTGAATTTTTTGGACCAGCAATTTGTTGTTCGAATTTATATATTATCTAAACAATGCGACATTTTCAATATATTTCGAATTTTACTATTTCGATATTTTAATATGTTCAGTCTTGATATACTTAAAGATTAGAATTTTCGTTTACGTCACATTTGTCCAATGAAGATACAACACAAGATCGAATTTTGCGGCACAAATCGAATTATTTGGCGTAGCTCAATTATGCGTGCGATTGCAATTTGATATCATTAACACATTAGCACTGATTAAAGGCGGGTACCGATATCGGCGGCCTCTTCGGGAAATTCCTTAGTTACGTAATAGATGGCAGACAAACAAAAAACCGCTTGTTTTAACGGATGGCAAAATGAGGCTAACTCCGGCAATCTACTATCGATAATGATAATGGTGATTTACTGTAATATCGTCATACGCACGTAGTTGGTAATTTTTGTTAGCATTTACCAAGGAAAGCAAGACTAAATAAATTCAAGCGCATATATAGAGATGGATATTGCTATCGAACACATTGCCTGTTTAGACGAAGCCTATACGCGATAACGCAATATGCTGTTATGACGTTTTTCATGAAATTAAAATGACCGCGGCGTTGGTGCGTTATTAATGCTAATTAATGCCGTCATATTATTATGTCAAACGAATACGCGGTATTTACATGTGGCCAACACCAATTAGCGAAGTTGGTTATCGCTACATTGAATTAGTTGAGCATTGTATAACTCTTCATTAGCACTGCACTCTGTTGTACCGAGTTCTCTTCATTTACCATACAGCTTCTTTATTTCACTTCCGTTAAAGTCGTTAAAGTCGCGAAACACGGTCTGTCCATTCTTTTTCAAAGCAGCTATATATTCTTTATTTATCTTAAGCCGTATTTAACAGTTCCCCGTCCCTTCTCTTTTCTCTTTCTAATCGCGCGTATATTGTAGCGCGCACAGAAATGCACGGGTGTGCATTATCATCAGCGGTTACTATAAATAGTATCATACCATGCACCATAGCATGTACGTAATTTACCAGACGTCATAATCGCGGGTGCGGCGCGCGTCACGATTACACCGAGAATGACTGATATAGCGCGAGTCGAGAATCGCTCCACACTGAAAGCCAGAGACCAGACCCCTCGACCAGATTACCCGCGATATGCAAAGAGAAGTCACTAACCCGCTCGCAAATAAGCCACCTTAGGTGAGGTCCGTATCGGCTTGCCGTCGTAGAAATCCTACAACGGTGTCGTCGTCGTCGTCGGCGTAGATATAGCGCGCCATGATTAATCCGCTACGCTTTTTACTGGCGCGGAGATACTCGGCGCGGCGAGTTAATTAGCCCTGTCGGGAATCCCGTGGCGCGAATCGAGAAACGGCGAGGCGCATCTTCCGCTAATTAACGTCTCAATCGCCGGATCTCATTGCGATCAGTAAAACGCCGAATACGGCCGCGCCACGTTCATCCCGCAACAATCGTTACGGCGACGTAACTCCGCGATGTAACACCGCGATAACTGGCAACGACCGCTCGTGCTGCGCTCGTAAAAGTCACCGGGCTCGCCGGAATAATGGAGCGACGTTTTAACACGGTCGCGCGGCTCGCTCGCCACGAGCTCGCGCGACGATTTTTACCACCAGATATATTCGAATTCGTCGTGCTGTGAGTTATGCTCTCCAACATTGCCGGAAGTTATTCCGCGTCGCGAATGTATGACGACAATAAAATTTTCACGAGCGCAGTTGTGATTTGGGGGACCTCAGGAAATTGGATTTTGACCGTTTTGGCACGGGCACTGGGATACATTATTATTGAACTATACGTAATATAAAAGTACAGTCAAATCTGTTTTATTCACATCTCTGTGTTAAATTAATATTGCGAACGAAATATTATATATATCGATGCGATTATAAAGCAACGATTAAATATTTGAGCGCAACCAGTACTCTTGCACGTTTCAACGATGCAAATATTAAATACACCGGCAATTAATCTCGCCTCTTGCATGCCCCGACCACTAATTTTCCATCCGCTTTAACTAAAGTTCCATTAAGGACTCTCTCTCCCTCTCTCTCTCTCTCTCTCGCCCTTCGTCCTCGCTCCTTGCGGCACGTATTCGCCAAAAGGGTTTAAGGTTAAGAGGGTCGGTCGTTAAAAGAGAAAAAAGAAAGAGAAAAAGAGGAGCAGCGGATCCTTGAGAATCCTGCAGCTGCCAGTCATCATCGGTACAAGAAACGTTGTACGCGTGTTTCAC